TCATGATATTCTGGAAGCGAATGGGGATGGGAATTTGGCATCCCCCGAATTTCAAACTTCAGGCTGCCCCCAGAGTGACCAGATTCACCAACACTAGACTGATTTCCAACTGATCCCACCCTTACCAGAGTGGGTAAACTATTAGGCACACTACATGATGCCCCATGGTGAAATACATTATCCAAGAGTGGACTATTTGGGTTACCATTCGTGAAGTGTGAACCAAGAATAGTTCCGTTGTTTGTACTAGATGTGATTCTCCCAAGTGAATATGGTCCTGGTAAAATTTTTAGGGCACAACATGAACATGTTTCCTATTGATAGAAATCTAATTAGCAGTGTCTATTATGAAAACTAATATACCAGAAAATACAGTAGTCAAGTTATTAGGAGGGCTATTCTGCTGCACTTGAAGACCAGATTCGTCATGGTCCATCTCAGAACTAAATGGCTGCATTAATCTGCAAATAGCAAAGGTTAACTTGGTAAAGTGAATAAGAATATATTAGCTGTGTACACATCATTCAATAACTACAGAGCACTGAAGTTCGATTCCTGCATAGAAAACTGATTTAAATGAAAAACACCAAAGAAGAAGAGAATATGACGAAGATAGAAAGTACTTAAAAAAGGGGCAGAGAAAGAAGTATTTGCTAATATCAACCTTTTAGAACGACGAACAGCTAACACACGACAAAGGTACCCCTTTAAAGGAGAGTACACCAAGTTCCGCAGCTGCCTCCTTTTCAGCTGCCTCCTTTTGCTACTTCAATAAATGGCTATTTTCTCCACAAATGTCCTTCTCTTCTGGGCTCACTAGAGTAACTCCCTGCCTTAATGAAGCATAACTTCCTTGTCACCAGATCACATTATAGCGGAGTAATCCGAGAGAGATTAATTTCCTTGTAAACACACATCTGGAACTCCAATTTACCAAATAAAGAGGATGGCTTTCAGGCACGCTAAACTAAAGGTCAACTTCATACAAACACCACCCCAAGAAAAAAAAAGGAGACCAGAACTTCCTTGTCACCAGATCACATTATAGTGGAGTAACTCGAGAGAGATTAATTTCCTTGTAAACATACGTTTGGAACTCCAAATTCAGTATACTCTCGCTCCAATTATACCTGAACTGTCCACGTTTGAAAACAACAAAAGATAAAGGGATAATGAAAAAGAGAACAAGGTGACTAATTCGAAGAATCTTCTTTGTCAGCACGTGCAGATTTTCTAACCTTGTGGAAAATAAATTTCAACCAAGAGTGGCATGAGAAGCCAAATCATATAAAATATAGCAGGATTAAATTAAATTAGCTTTTACTTGGTGTCAAAGACCAAAAAGAAGTAATCATATTTCCAGAATATTGTCAAAACTTCAATTGCAAATTTAGACATTTTATTACTAATAAGAAAAGCCATAATTATCATTAGCTACCATAATGATTCGCAGACAGGACCAGATCACATTGATTATGAACCAGACAGATGAACAATATTAAACAGGATCTCCTACTGCATCCACAGTGCTTGCCATTCTTCAGTAGCCTCTTCCTGGGAAAAAAATCAAATCA